GTGTACTGGTGCAGTGATTGTGATGTTGGGCTATGTACTGACCAGTGTTTTCAGGATTACCACACCAAACTCAACTTTTAGCAGTTCGAGTGAGTAAAAAAATATTATTTATCATAAATATATTAAAAATATATGCATAGTTTTGTTCTTCGTTTCATTATGAATATTTCTGTGAAAATTTTATCTCAATATACCTATTTTTGCGAGAGTTACTATATTTTTCATGGATAAGTGCATTTTTCTGTTTAATAATTAAATACCTCGTCGGTTTGGCGGTAGGAAAAGATTTAAATACTATCCGTCGCAGAAGGGTTAAGCAATATACTTGTTGAATATCTTAAATTGCTACAAGGGGAAAAAAACAAAAACAGCCCCCCCAAAAAAAAAAGCAAGACACTCAGTCTTTTCTCCAGTATACAGCAAAATTAAAGTTATGTGCACAATGTATTTTCATACTCACTTGCATATAAACAGTGAAGACATGTTTCACGGTTCTCATGAGAAGTTCTGCTACTGCAATATTGTACAGATATTCCAACTGCTTAATCTTGGATAATGAATCTGCAATCTTGCCCAGATAACGAATATTGACACCTCTGTTGTGCAATGCTTCAGAAAGTGTTGCCCCATCCATTGGAGCAGCAGAGTGATCCAAACAGTCCCGCACCTAACACACAACATTAAATTAGTTTCCCCTTGTAAATTTCTTTATGAATTTCTTTGTTATCTGGGTCCAGTTACAGGCACACTTCACTGTGACTTACTGCTTCTGTATAGAAGTATGGATGAAGTTTTGTAACCACCTTCTTCAATATGGCCTCTTCCTCCCAAATCTCTCCCTATTAATCATTCCAAATAATTCTATATCTCATTAGATGCTAAATAATCTCAGCAACTGGAACACCAAGATCAACTGATACAATAATTTTAATAACTTAAATTCAATCTATCTTTGGCTGATGCTGAAGTGTGAAACTGCACAGAGAACAAGGTCCTGGCAGCGCCCACCATTTGAGATAGAAACAACTCTGAGTACATCAGTCTGTGTTCTGGGCATCACTGGTGGTTTATTCTCCTTCACTTACCATTCCATGTGCACAGTCCTGTCATCTACCAGATTCAAATTAAATGTACAAACTTACGTGCCAGAGTAACAGCTCTTGTCATACATTATTTTATTATCCTTCTCTTGTTGTTGGGTGAACAACATGACAACATTTGATAAATAGCAGCAAAGCATGGTAAGATGTCCTATTATCAGCCAAGTTAAATTTCAATTACATGTATAACTTTGGATGCTATGGAAAGAACAGCCTCATAAGGCACACACCATTAGCACGTGGTAATGCACAGTTATGAAGAACTGATAACAGTATGAATTATTTCAGTTTTATATGGTAGTGGCCTTGGATTAATTTAATTATCTTCATCTACACTTCAGCTGAAATGAACGGTTTAGCAAAACCTCAGACAGGTTTCTGTGAAGGGTCCTCTTTATATATATACAGAGTGTCCCAGGAGGAATGTGCCAGACTTTGGGAGGGTGTTCCTTATGTTAAAGTATGCTGATATAACCCAAAACACCTATGTCCAAAGTTGAATGGTTACGGAGATAATGGCCAGAGAAGTGTGAAACTTTGACAGGTGTTACACACTTGTTGATTAGCACATACATATTAAAACTGGCAGGAATATCTGGTTTCTGTAATGTTAATGATGTACATAACATCAAATTAACTTGTGAATGACATGAAGCCATTAAATTGAACTACAAAAAGAAACTCGCATGACATGTTATAGTTATCCTTAGGTTTCCAAGCATTATACATGACACATGCATGGCAAGTGCTGACGTAACATGGCTGACTGTGCGTTCTGGTATAAGCCGACTACATAACTACTAAAATACAGTACCTGATTTATACTAATTGTTCAAAGTGTCCTCTGCCAGCTGCAATGTCTTCCAACAAACATGGTAACTCACTCCTCAGGAAGGGTTCATATATGTTTCCCGTTAAATTTTTGTGAAACACAAAAGGTCCAAACAACCTGTTCCCAAGCACACCACATCATACATTCACAGAAAATCTCTTTTGGAATTTCGTTACCATTACCTCATGTGGTTTATTATGGGACCACGTACGCATTTTTCGTAAATTATTTACACCGTCCACGGTAAAAGACGCCTCCTCACTGAATAAAATGATGCTTAACAGTTCAAGATGAGCTTTTATCCAGTGGCACAAACCATACGCTGAGCATGGTCGCCTGGTTCCAGATGTTGTACCCTTTGATCATGGTAAGGATACAAATCTTCATCATGCAAAGTTCGCCACACCTGCATACGTGATATGCCGATGTGAGAGGCCATTCTACAAGTGGACAGATGCGGACTTCTCTGAACCATCTCAAGAATGTTCTCTTGTGTGTTTCTCATTCGTACATCCTCCCTTTCAGAGTGCACAGAAGCACTTGGAAGAGAACCAGTATCACACAATGTCTGGTGAATTCACGTAAATACACTTCGAGATGGAATCCTTCAATCGGGAAAACGCCTTTGGTATTCTTCAACAGCAGCACGTGCATTGCCACCATAAAATCCATACACAAAATGCATATCACAATATTCCACGTGTGAAAACACAAAAGGCATTTCAGCAACTCTGTACAACTAATTTACCATCCATTCACAACGCGGCCGCAACGTACCCTGAAGGTAGCACNTATTATGACAAAACTGAATACCAGCAAGAATCAAATAAAATTTCTCACAATTTATTACACACAGTATAACATATTTCTTATTTCCATGGTATTTTATGTTGATCAAGGTATAACATTCAGAGTCATTAATGTATACATAAAGTTATACACACATTATAATGAATGTGACACAACATTCATACACAGTAAAACTGTTATATACTTCGCAAATGCACTATGTACATGTTGAATAGCAAAGAACATAGATACCACTTACATTATACTAAGAAAACAAAATAAATGTTTGCTCTTCATATGTATTACATTACATAGTATTCGCTAAGTACTCACAAATGCTGGAATTTGAACTGTAAGCAGGAAGTCTGCAGCATCTTTCACAAGCTGACGCTGTTTCTGGAGCTGTTCACCATCTGTATCCACATGCTGAACTCCAGGAGAATACACATCTGGATTGAATCTTACATCAAATTCTGTCTCCTTAAGTGACCCCACTGCAATTGCAGCCTTCTTTACTATATCCTTTGTACTCTCCTCCACTGAAAGTAAGTCAATCCTTGATAGACCAGACCACATAATTCCAAATGTAAATTAATTCAATCAATGCTCCTCAAAGATGTTTTAATTATGAATAATGGCCTCTAATTGATGAAAATTAAAAGAACACATTTAGTCCTGAGTAACATGGATAAATTAAATGGTACTGAGGAAAGAGAGTCTGGAGCATCAGTTGCTAAATGCTCAACATATCACTAAAGGTCACAGTGCAAGGGCCAGCAGTTACACTCACCCCTTTTGTGTGTGTGTGTGTGTCTGTGTACATGTGTGCAGATGCAGGTGTGTGTGTGTGTGTGTGTGTGCACATGCGCACATGTATCAGTTGCTAAAATGTGGAAGAGTTCAGCATAGCAAAACAAGGTGTATCTGGCATTACCAGAAAGAAGGCATAGCTCAAGCTCATTAACTCTTTGACTGGCGCGAAGGGTATTTAAATCCCACCCCTGTCCTGGCAGGCCCTTTAAACCTTATGTCGCTAAAATGCATGTTGTTACTTTTTCATAAACAACTTCAACAAAAATTGGTTTTTAAAAACGAAATTTTTAGGAACTAATTAAAATACAATACTTTATGCAATAAATGCTTTTCCACACCTCTTTATTTGTTTTTCTTCGTGTGATAAACATTGAAACATGAAAGTTTGCAGAGAGCCACACCACAGCCTGC